CATATATGTCTAGGTAAATTCTTATGCATATCAGATTATTATAACATATATCTGCTAAAGGCAGCAAAGTTATTAATTTTATAAAATATATCAAGCGGAGACATCAGCTTAAGGCTCCTCCTGGAGCGCTGATAGGCAAGAGTTAATGAAGCTGTCTACAAACAATTAATCTGTCATTCTTAGAACACAATTCGAATCTGCTTTATATCATTTTTCAGACAGAATGTAAGAAAGAAAGGAAGACATAAAATATCTAAACTCTCCAAATAAAACTTAACCATGTATTAAAAACAAGTTTGACGAAAGACTTCGATTTTTGCCGCTAAAATTCTAGTTATATAAAATACGACATATTTTGAATAAGATCAGATTCATACATAACCCAGCATATAAATATGCTATATCTTTATATAAAGGGTACTTAAGCTTCGGCGTGTCCTTCACTCCGGTTTTCTTTTTTTATGTTCACGGTCTGCACATTTCTCTCAACAATTATGCATATTTACAAATGTTAATTGCCGCCGGGCGCAATATTGTTGTACACGTATTTACAGCGCGACCAACCAGCAGCCACGCCCCTCTGAAAAGTACACCCTCCCCAACCACCACCCCACACCTCAACTGCCAATTAACAACATTATTGACTCCTGACGCTGGACGGCAAGGCAACCCGCCAAGCAACCACTTTGAAATGCTAATGAAATTGGCTTTTAAAGCCAGCGAATCATGAGTTGAGTCGTAGTTAAAATCGGAGTGGAGTCGTGCTGGAAAATGCATAAAAATAAATTCAGCGAGTGTCTGTCTGTCTATCTGGATGTTGTTTTCATCAAAAGTCCTTGTCGGTTGCTTAATTGATAAATTGATTAAATTGCATGCCTTAATTGCATGGCAATCGCCTTGTCTTTCGTCACAATGCCAACCACATGACATCGGCAGCGGCAACAAATGAGTTTTAACATTTAATTTTGGTGTCTCTACGTTGCCGGCACTTGCCTCTGGCAAATTGCATTTGCTTTGTTCGCCTTTCGGTTCTGTTCGGTCAACTGTTCGTTAATGCGACTTATTTGTCAGCATTTCAAGTGTCGCTCACATCATCATCAGCTCTGCCCTGCAGTGATCCGCATTTCGGATTGAATTGCTTTGTCTGGACAGCGGTTCACCAGCTCGTCTCAAATCAGACTATTGACAATTTCAACGGACCGCCTGCGGGTTCAGCGGATGAACTGATTTTGCCATTGTCTTTTTTAGTTACAGTTGGGCGAGAGGCACGTCCTTTTACTGCGGGCATGTGCGCTTTTTGAGCTCTTATCTAGGATTAGATACTAAGTATCAACTGCTGAAAGGACGAAAAATTTAATTTGGTCATTTGGTTTTTATTGGGAAAAAGTCGGCGTGAAACGTTTTGTTCTATATCTAAAATTTAAAAAAATATATATAACATTTAAGAATTAGAAATTTAAAGAAAAGAGTCCAAAAGTGAGCTGCAATATGCTGTCCTTATTTCATTGGCTCTCGTATGTATAAATATAATATTCAATTCGTTTATACGCTTTGACTTTCAAAGCAGAGCCAGTGAAACGCTTACGAATAAGCACAAAGAAGAATTAATAATTTGAATGCTCTCAAGGGCGTATAAGTGCAGCACGCTTCGAAAGAAAAGCCAGTAAAACGTTGCCGAACAGCGCTCAAAGCAGAATTAAATGTTTTAATAATCTCAAGAGCGTAAAGACATTTACGAAGAGAGAACAAAACAGAATACGAGATATTAATGCTCTCAAGAGCGTAAAAGTGAGAGCACAAAAGCTTATGCGCGCAGCACATTGTCATCTAATACCATATCAGACTCTTTAATCACACCTCTCCAATTTAAATCCACATTCGATAAACTTATGTGATTAAGTACTTCACGCTCGCCAATGCCAACTATATCATCACAATCTGCTTGTTTACTCACTTTTATGGCGCATTTGTGCATTATCTATGTAAATGCTTTTGGCTTATGTACGCTCAACACTCAATTGCTCTCAACTCTCACATTTTGTCGTCTTTGCGTTAACTACCCGTTAAGTCCGAGGGAATCCCGAAACCGAAATGCGAACAATAAAAGCTTTAGCCAGCGACTAAAGCGCATTAAAACTGCCGACTGGCTGCCTCTGAAGCTTTTCGGACTTCGGAAGCGGACTGTCCAGTTACTGCCCAGTTACGTAGATTGCATTTGCTCGTTTGATTTTCCCATTTTGTGTTTTCTATTTGCCGATTTTTCTATTTATTTTTTATCTTTAGTTTTTTTGCTTTTGCCTTTGTGCGGTTTTGCTTTGATTTAATTTTGCTTTTACTGTTGGTTGTTTGTCATTGTTCGGAGCGTGTTCCCAACTGTCATTGTCTGCACCCAATTTGCGAGCTTTGTTCAATTGGCTTTGCTGCTGCTGCTGCCGTCTCTCCACTCTCTCCAACTGTCACTCATTCGTCAGCAAAATAAATCAGTCAAGGGGCGGGAACTTTAAAAATTAAGGCTTGCCTAAGCTAAATTTGCCGGAGCACAAAAACAGGCAACGAATTTAAAGCCGTAAAATTCATTTACGTATTCGATTGGCTTTGTTTTTAAGTGGACTTAAATATTTGTTGGCTGCTTTAATTCATGCAAATATTTTTTATCTGTGCTGATAATAAGATAAGTTACGACAGGTGCTGCATTTCAGCCAGGATAACATTTTTATTATTCAACGTACATAAGTTAAAATGGCGATGCAAACGTATTTTCCTTGTGTAAAGTACCGAAAATCTTAACACACTTTTCTAAAGTATCATCAAACTGTCTGCCCAGGGCTCAAGATTAGAGCCCGTAACCTCCACGAACTCATAACAGCCCACGACGAGCGACCCACAGGCTTTTGTAGCTCATAATTCCATTAAAAACTTCTGCCCACAAAAGTATGCTACAGTTTTGCAAGCACTACATTTATGTAATTTAGCACCGCAGTTTTGTGGATTGACTCTTGCATAAGAACATTACGGGCACGAGCTGATGTCTGCTGCCATTAACCCAGAGTCTGCTGCTTGCTTTTTTTCTACTCCAACCATGCGAGTAGTTTATGCGGAACATATTTTATTGATTACATTTGCAGCCACCCAAAAGTCTCTCACAGCCTCCTACCGCAACCCGGCACGGTCCCGGCCCTCCTCCCCCAAGTTGGCTGCGTGTTTTTGCACAAGTTTATGAGATTTTCGTGCGAGGCAACCCCAAAAATCAAATCGCTGAAGCCAGAGTTGAAGCCAGCAGTGCCACATTTAGGGGAATTGCATTTCTGTGGTCTCAATAGATGTGCACACACATCTGTACGAGAGTATGTGTGTCTACATGAGTTATATAAGCAAATAAATTGCTTATTTGTAGCGACAATTTGCGGTAATTTTGTGATTTGTGTTTTGGCTTCAATCTGCAAATGTGCTGCTGACATCATCTGTGTGTGGGCGTGTGTCTGCGTGTGTGTGCTTGTTGGGGGTTGTTTCCGCTTCGTCCCTGACGAAAGTCCTTATGGCTATTAATTAAACATGTATATGTACAAAACCCACAGTGCCACCCCACCCAAGTTTTTGCCATAATTCATAAGAGACAGCAACTGCTGCTCAACTGCCTCGGCACAGTGCCTGCCAGTCACTGTGATCACAGTTTATTGACTGCCTCCATTTTGGAAGCCGAAACACTAAACGTGTAATCCTTTCGGCGCTTGCCATTTGCATATAGCGCACATGTAAGAGCCCTCTCAGAGTTGCTGTCTCTGCTACCCTGCTGGCCGCCCACTTGTATGCATATCGTTAGCAAATTGCAGGCTCAAAAAACCAACGCGTCCTGGCTAAAAAAAAGAACGACTCTTTTCTGCAAGCAGCAGATTAAATACCCTAATGTATTGTCTGCAACAAGAGCACGAATCTATGCAAAGTTTCTAGTTTGGACTTGGCTGTTGATGCTGATCAGAAATTTATCAGCTTTTTCTCTGTCTACTTCTGTGTGTCACGTACTTCTTGAAAAAAGTGTAATACCCTTTACAAGCGAGAGTCAGAGCCAAACTCCAGGCGGGCCCAAAGCGTGGTGAGCCCCGGCATATATATGTTTGCCTTCTGTAAGCTAATACCCAGCCAATTTCCGTTGGCTGGCGCGCTGTTACGGGTTTTTTGTGCGCAGGTAACGTGGCCAACTCCTTCTTTTTTTTCCTCGTTGTCCCTTGCTCTGTGGCGCAATTCGTGCCTTTTGTATTTCCGGTTTGGAAATTAGAAGGCGCGCCGCCCGCGTTAGTTCTATACAAATTTGTATAAAAGCTTAGCTACATTTTTTCCGCTCAACTCATTTGCATATTCGACACATTTCAAATTGAGCCCCAAATGTGGCGTCCGTTTACGAGCTGTGACTATGACTTTTGACGGGGGGGGGGGCAGCCAGCTGTATGTTACCCTTTGGGAATTTAAGCCATTTAGGCTGGTATTTTGTAAAATAATTTTAAAATTGACATTAACTTTGGCGCGGCACAGCCTCAAGGTGTCCAAATGAAGCCATTAGCAGTCAAAGCCCGGACCCACAAGAACCCCCGTCAATTGACTTGTGAACGCAGCCCCAACACCCGACCACAGCCCCACCGACGACGGCCTGGACCAGAACTCTTGGCCTAGAAACAAACACAAAGGCGTTGATTGGCCTGAAACCAAACTCATGCCACAGTCAACTACCCGACCCGTCATTCTGCCAGCTCACACTTCCGCACCAGAATTTGTCCAAGCTCTCAAAAGTGAAATGTGGCCAAGCGTGCTTCAGGGAATTTCCACTTTAGTATTGAGTGTGTTCATATGAAAATCATAATTTGATTGGGGGCAAGTTTTAAGTGCTTCTACGAAAATTGACTTTACATAAAAGCCAATTAGCATAAAGTCATAATGCGATTGGTAATCGAGAATTTATAATGTTTATTAAATTTGTTTTTTTGCATTTTATTTTATTTCAATTGCAGCTATTTCCCGCGAGGATGGCGACGATTCCACACATCATCATCACCATCATCATAATCATCATCGCGGCGGTGGCGCCCATCATAATCACGGTAATAAAGTTCCATTCAATGGTTACAATTCGGAAGAGTATCTGGATCGACTGGAACCAAATGGCAATATACCCGCTGACAAAACAAATTGCAGATATGGCGGTAAGTTGAAGCTGCACAAATTTAATGATAAATAATACATACTAAAAAGTTACGTAGAGTAAGGATAAGAGCACAACTGAGCTGAGAATTATTAACAAAATATACATTTAACTTGTAAAAACAGCTTCTGTTTACAGGAGATAAATTAATTCCTTTACTTACTTTAATAGTTACTTTTTCTCTATTGGAAAGAGATATAGTTAGCTTCAATAATAATGCAATAAAATGATCTAATATACATGCTTAATATTTAAATATTAAAATAAATCCCAACTATCTGTACTAACTTCCAACAGCTTTGTTTGCTATACAAAAAATGTTGCATACTTTCTGGCTGTCCGTTTGAATTTTGGCGAATTGCTGGCGAAAGCGTTTTAGCGCTCAACTTTAAGCAAACTCATTCATAAAGATTTACGCAATTTATTGCCTCGCTTTCGCAATAATCTCTCATTTAAGCAGCAGCCTCTCCCTCCTCCACCCCCTCCCCTCCCCCTCCTCCACTACACACTCCCCCAGAAAACTAATTTAATGATACGAGTGTTTTGAGCGCTTTGCTCCCCACTGACTGGCGTAATTTATGCCTCCGCGCTCTAACTAATATCGGCCCGAGCCGAACAGAGCCGCGTCTCTAATTATGGCCTGGCCATTTCCCCAGTGGCATAGATAAACCGGGCTCGCCGACATTTCACGCGCTCAACAATTTATTGCTGCGCTGCTTTTTCTACAGCTTAATTTTTTCTTCTGTGTCATTTATCAAATTTTTGACTCATTTAGCAACGTTTCAGAACGTTTCTGTTTCTGTTTCTGTTGTTGCTTTATTTTTATTTTTTTTATGTACATATTTTATCTGTAATTCTGTCATTTAAACGCGTGCTTAAATTGCTTATCATATCGTTTCGTGCTTGTTAATACGCTCGAATGCCAATGCATATTCTTCCCATGAAGACCGCCCTCTTCTCTCTGTCTTGCCCTTTCATTTTATTGTCATAATTGTAAATTGCAATTTTATGCAAACAATGGCGAAATGGAGCCATGGCCCCATGGACCGTCTCAAGGCCCGACTCCCTCGCACTTCTTCTTGTAGACTTGAAGACTGGTTGACATTACCGATAAGGCAGATGATGATGATGAGCAGCAGCAGCGGCAGCAGCAGCAAAAGGACTCATTTGTTATTGTTGCTGTTTCTGCTGCTGGCGCTTGTACTGTTGAAGCTGTTGCTCTTGTTATTGTCCTTGTAAAGCGGGGCACTCAACTCTCGCAGGCCATCTCTTTCTTTATCTCCAACTCGTTTGCCTGCCTCTCCTTTGTCTCTCTGCCAGCCTGCCTCCGTCTAGGCATTACGGAATCGGCTCATAAAGCAACGGAAATGAAAATATTAACAAGCAAATGCACAACAGCAGCAGCAGCAGCAAAGCCCCACAGCAACAACAACAACAACAGCATCTGCAACAGCAACAACAATGAGAATTATTCATAGTTAAATGGAAACTGTGCATGCCTCATAGAGTAGCTATCTGTGCGCTCGCTTTTGAAACCCATTGTCTCTCTTTTTGCCACTGGAGCCCTTGCCACTTGGCCCACCCCATACCACCCCACCCCACCCCAACCCAATTCATTGCCACCCCCGCCAGCTGCACGTGAGCTGTGTGCATTGCCAAGGTCCTGACAGGCGCCCCAAGTTATATATGCACCTCTATATCACTCTTGTGATACTCTTATAGAGGGTGCTTACAGCTTGTTATGAACTGTGTAACGCATTATGAAGTATATGTTTCTGATCAACATTAAGAGTCGAGGCGATTTGAAATCTTCAGTCCTAATGCTTTGTATTTCTGTTGCAGACAATATATGTCTTGAAATCGGTTAGATCGTATATACTATATTATACAGCTGCCATAAAATTTATAGGTAGGTATAGAAAGTTGGGCTCTTGTATAAAAATCTGATCAGTCAATCGGATCATATAACTCTAGTTTATCATACAGCTCTATGGAGAGAAACTACGGAAAAATGAGTTTTTGTTTGAAAAGCTTTCAAATTTGTATATAAAACTTGACTAACCAAAAGAAAAAAGAGTATTATTTGTTCGGCTTGGCTTCTCTCCTTGTTTCTCTCCTGTTGTTATCTTCTTCTTGTTCTCGTTGCCCTTACGCGACGCCAGGTGGCGTGTTTGCTTATTGCATTTGCGAGGTGCACTGCAAGGATTACCTGCTTCACCTGCTTTGACTGCGACTTTGGCCCAAAACGAAAGTGTGAAAGGTTCTTGTGGCTTGAAACTTTTGCTGCATGCAAATAAAGTCCTGTTGCGTGTCAAGTAAAAGTGGGAAAAGCTTCTTTTTTTTTATGAGACAGCTGTAGTTACTCGTAGTATAGTTTTTGACATATTTTTAATGCTCAGGATTATGTTGATTTCTTTGTTGTGGAAAGCGCTCTGAATTAATATATTAAAAAAATTATTTATTTACCTCTCTTCGGTACTTAAATTTTAAGCTTTGTTTTTGAGTACACTTTATGAGCCAAAATTATAAAAAATTCATTTCAATAATATACCTTAGTCATTTTAGCTCCTTAAAGTAATTTAACATGTATTTATAGACTTTCTCTGCCATTCACATATGATTAATAGTTTATATTTTGCTCCCTACAACTCTTCAATTCAATTCGTTTTATTTTGTGATCAATAAACTTTCTCAATCTACCCCTCAAAAGCAGTTCTCTTATCATAAAGTTATGTAACGCACAATAAATTACACACTTTGAAAGCACATTCGCCCACTCAACTAGACCATTTCCCGCACCCTACACCCCCTAACAATCTCCCCGGCTCGACTAGCTGTTTCAGCCAAAAGCAATTTCAGTTTTTCATGCTGCTGGGTTCGTTGTTCCCCTTGTTGTTGTTGCTGTTGTTGCCGTTGTTCTGATTACATGATTTATAAGTTATCTTCAACTCGACAACGTTGTTGTTTTTGCCATTAGATCCGTGTTGGGGCGGCGCCTGGCGTTGAGGCATTTGCCCAGGATATGCGCAATATATTCTCAAAGACTTTGCCCCTAAACAAAGATTATGGTTTATATGCGCAAATTATGCGCTGCCAAAAAAAAGAGACCTTTAAAATTCGCTCTGCTCTCCTGCCCCAAGTCGTTTGCCATTTGTTGGGCCATTACAAAAGTTGTGCGTTGTAAAAAAAATGGTTGTAAATTGCGTACAAAAACATATTTGCCAAATTCGCATAAAAGCGAGCGAAACATTTGACAAACTGCTTTTACTCCCACAGCCGAGGCACTTCCGGTTGCCACAAAATTGTAAATCATGTTTAACAATTATGCGCGACACAGAAAATTACGAGCATTTAATTATCATGCTGTGAGTTCTTGTGTGTGTGTGTGTGAGTTTTTGTGTGTGTGTGTGTGTGGCAATATTGTGGTATTTGCCACATGCATCAATTGGTTGCAACTCGCATTAAAATGCCACTTCCTTTGACTCCATTTCCTGCCACCCTTACCTCCCCCCACCCCACCAAGTTCGTGAACTGCCTCGGTTATTTCCCAATTCCTAACTCTACCCCACATTTCCCCCTGCCCTTCCCCCCTAGGTTTATGCACGCGCGACTAAATCCTTTTAGCGCTTTATTTCGCTTCTGATGCGCCGTTGCTTGTCCTTCAGCTTCTGTTTATTTTTACTCTTCTTAATACGCTAACAAAGGGTATTGTGATTCCGACATTAACTGTGAAATCTATTCTTAGTCATTCTGAAGAAAAGGCTTAGTACTTATTTATGTAAAGCTAAGTAAATAGTATATATGGTAATATATGGTAGGTAAGTTAATTCCTCAGTCTGTCGCTATTTGTACGCTATTCAACCTGAACTGAACAACTTGGCAAAGCATTGATATTATAGTTAGTTATTGTACTGTCATTAGCTTTGTAAAAAAAGCTTTAACAAGCAGGTGACTATTCAACTTTGTATGCAATAAACCCAAATTAAACCAGCTCTTAAAATGTTAAGAATAATATATCTCCAATTAGCCTATTATTTCTTGTAATTTATTAAAAAGAAAATATAGTAGAAGGGTTTACTTTTTAGGCCAAAATTTAACTAACTTAAAAAGTTATGGTTTTCTTAAACTTAGCCCACAAAGGGTATTCTTTGTTCGGCGCTTTGTTCCCTTGTTGCCTTTTTTGTGACTTCCAGCCTCATCGCATTGTTTGCCTTACATTTTTTTGCCTGCCTACGCGCAGGGCTTTTCCGGAGTACCCCTCGTGTCAGGACCCGTTTGTCTATTGTTTTCGCAGCGCTTTGCTGCTCCCCAGCCGCCTGTCTGTGATTTAAATTTATTGGCAAAATACTTAAAGTGATTTTTTTTTTGTTTTCCACTTCTTTTCAGCATTGTTTTGGGGGGGGATTCTTTTGTGGAGGGCGGCATTTGCCTAGCTGGGCGAGAAACCCTTTGACAGTTATGTTGGCTTTTCTTGTATCTTCCGACCATTAGGCGGGCGTTTCCAGCTAAAGAAGTCCTGTCGCCTTGCGGTTAGACAGCCCTTCTTTGCGGTTTGCAGCAGCAGCGCGAACCCGCTGTCAAATTCGTTGCAGTTTATTAACGAAGCAAAAACATGTCGCCTTTTTCCGTATTTCCCGTATTTGCGCTTTTCCGGTTTGAATTGTGTGTTTTTTTTTTGTTTTGATTTTCGGTTTTCTGTTGTTTTTGTTGTGGGGGCAGCATTTTTAATGATTTAGTTGGGGAAGTGTTTTTGCCGGGACTTGCTTTGCTTTTGTGCAGATTTTTGTTTGATGTCATCTCGCGTGAGACATTTTTGGCTTTTTCTTTTCTTTTTCGGTTGGCTAATGAAGCAACCTATGCAATGACATGGAAAATTTGCGGTTTATTTTTCTACTTTTTTTTTTTTAACCGTTTTTACGGCTGTCGCGCAGCATTTGCATAAGGGGCTTTTTTTTGTTGGAGCAGATCAAAAAGCGGCAGAGTTCGTGCATGCGCAATGTA